ACGTGGCGTGAATAATGAGACGCCGGCTCTTTGTTAAGTACAGACCTTACAGGGTGTGGAGCGGCCTCCACCGCTCGCTGTCCTGGTGTGTCCGCAGACCGGGACTCACGCCATGTGGTTTGGTCCAAAGCACTGAAGTGAAACCCCCTCGCCAAACGTCACAGAGCAGATGCAGAAGACCACAGAGGAAGATGGTGAGGCCGGGACCAGGAACTGAGCAGACCAATCAGATTCAAGAGCTGCTTATAACTAAGGACTTGTGTGTCAGGGCCTGTGGAGGAGATCTACATATTTATCAGCACTAAAGCTCGGGAGCTTCCAGCCGCAGCAGGCCCGCCGCGATAACACGGACTGTGAAAAGTGGAGAACTTCCTGAAGCCCGGGATCACCGTCGTCTCACACATTCACTTGTGCAGCTGTAAACACACCGCTCTGTGTTTTCTTGAACAATAATACCAGGCCGCAGGGTCACCAGTGACGGGGCTGTGATGAACGGTGTCGGCTGATCCTGGTGCCGGTCTGAAACTCCAGTAAATTCTGTCCTCCAGACCCAGAAATAAGGAGAAGGCAGCTTCACTCTGATCCGGGCCTCGCGAGAGAGCGAACAGAAAGTAATCTGAGCAGATTACAGATCAAATATGGAAACTGGGGTGTCAGATCACCTGATCCGGTCCTGGTTTGATCTGATCCAAAACCTGATCCCAGCAGAGGGCTGGATTCAATGTCAGAAAACGTTTTAAATTTTCCAAATAATACAGCATTTTTACCGTGTAGGAGCCTGTTTGTCCACATTTATTTAGAGCTTGCACTTGATTTGTTTAAACTTCGCACTGATAAAGTCGATCAGCCATTCAGTACAGTAAAGTGAAAGAATAAATAATCCCCCAAACAGCTTCAATATCAAACAAAAATAACGTATTATGACAACCGTCCCTTACATTCATTACAAAGGCACAGTCAGCAGAGATGAACCATTAAACTGCATCTCTTCCTGCAGGTCCAGTCGCTCCCTCATGCTGAAAGCTAAAAGCTGCTCTCTGAATAATCTTTATTTGAATAATGCATATTAGTGAGTTTTATATATTTGGATCAGATGGTCGACTGTTAAAGAAATTAAAATAGGAGGAAATGTTTGTGTTGTTTTACTGCACATGTTCTGTCTCTTCAAATTAAAGCGCCCCCCCCCCCCCCTGGCTGGTCTACCGGTTGCTCTTTATATAACCAACAGCGTAGAGCTCCAGATTTGGTAATCCTGAAAAGTCTGGATCCAATGTTGGTTTGAAAAACCAGCACAAAAGTGAGAGAGGTCACATGATCCTGGATAACAAAACAAGGTCATTCTGATCCAGATGAAACCTTCTGAACTGGGCCCTGATGACCAACCTGATCCTGGGTTAAAGCTAGCGGATGCAATGTGTTTAAGCTAATGCTAGGCTAAAGCTAGCCGTGGATAAACAGCTGCAGGACACGGTAGAAAAATCATACTGTGATTATCTGTGGCAGCTCTGTGATTTGGATAATATTTTGATTAGGACCGAGTCATTCGTAGACTTTAGAAAGGTACTTTATTGTACTTTACGTCACGTACATGTAGCGAAACTCATTCTCTGCATTTAACTCTTCCTCCAACGGAGCAGGGACCAGATCCAGATCTGAGCCCTGGGGAACCGGAGCAAACTGCACACAGAAAGGCCGGGACGACCGGGGGTTTGAACCCGGCTTCACAGCAAGAGGCCAGACCCGCTGGACCACAGTGCCAGTGAAGAAGGTGGGTCATGAAATGCAACAAACGTCCCTTCCTGGACTGGAACGCACCTGAGTGCCACCAGGACGCCTCCTGTTCTTCGTCTTTACAAAGAGACATAAGAGCATTTTCACATTCGCTCTCCCATTAAAACAGAAGAAAAAAGACACAGAGATTAAATTTGCCCTTTAAAACAGCAACATGTGAGTCAGTGTTAGTAATAACACTGGGGGGGGGGGTCCCTGTTTAACCTCCGCTGGTACCGGCCTGAGGAACCACGTTCTGATCCCTCAGCGGGTCATGTGACCTGCAGCCTCTCTTCCTGTCAGGACCAGGTGCTGAACCGTAACACAGCTCCTCTCTCTTTGTCTATTTTTAATCCCTGCGATCTCACGCTCCAGGAAGTTAATCTGCCGTTGCCATGGTTATCGTAGCCGCGGACTGGCCGGGCGCCAGGTCTGATCGGCTGCCCGGCAGGAAGGACCAGGTACGACAACAACAGAGACTGGACGGATGAGACGGAGGAGCAGAGCAGAGGAAACGAGTCCAGACACTCAGAGTCCAGGGACGTGTTATTACTGTGAGAGCAGACAGCTGTTTCTAGCCGACGTGGCCGTTTAACAATGTTTTAATGTGCAGTTGACACAAACTCTGTACGTCCTCCATGTCTCTCTGCTGTCTGGATAAACTCATGTGCAGTTTGTACGCCGGGTCGGCCGACGTCCGGTTCAACCCTCCACTAACTGGAACGAGATAAAATAACTCAGGCGGGGTGTGACGGTAAAATAAAACAACATCCACCCCTTTACAGACGCTGCTTTTCCCACGGCTGAGTGCGTGAAGTCCGTCTCAAAGATCTACGATCTGACCGGCATCCAGAGCGACAGTCTGCTGATCGGACATGACAGACGTTGGATTTCATGACAGAAACGTGCATCAGTGAACTACTAGAAAGGAACGAGCTAAATTTCATCAGTCCTGCTTTTCTCACAGCGCAGGTCAGGAACTTGATGGCATCCTGACCTCTCAGCGCCCGTTTCCTGCAAAACGTCCTCATCTAGAAGACGCAGCAGACGCGTGTGATACCAGCGTCTCACATTTACCTACAACAATACCAACAGCAAAGAGCCGTGAAGACCGGGATCCAGATTTTCTTTACCAAAGCGGGGAACCTGTTCCGCAGAACGTGCAAATCGTCTCCTGACAAACGCTTTGAGAGAGGACGTCAGAGGAGACGCCGAGACACAGGCGGCTGCAGCCCCTCAGCCCGAATGAGTCAACTACAGTTTGCACTTATTCCACTATTTCATTGCATTTTTTTTTTTTAGAAGCGCTGCAGCAAAATCACAGAGAAGGCCTTGAAATCCTGAAGGGACTGAGAAATTCTAACAGCTGATCCTGTTTTGCTTTATTGTTTTGTTTTCTACCAGAACAACTTCCTGTGCAGGCGTATAGATGTTTGCTTACTGCAGTGTTTAACAGCACGTGTTGCTAATCTCCAAAAGCAATCTGTGTAATCTGGATTAATGTGGTCCGTTAGGTTTGTGCGCGTATCTGTTGATAAGAATAACCATATTTACCTCACATCGGTCGAAGCTCACCAGAAACAACAAACTAAAGAGATTAACGGTGAAGTCAGGCCTCACTGTGCTCACTCAGGGTTTGTGGGTAAACACTATGTGGTGTTTTCAGCTCTCCGGACGGGCCGACGCTCATAAAGTTCTCTCCGACCGTAAACGTGCTGACGGCCACGGAAACGACAGCTGAAATATGTGAGGAACGTTTCTCAGTGCAACAGAAAACGATTCTTCTCTCGTCACCAACTCTCCTTTTAACTGAATGAAACGCGGTTGTTTCTCTCTACCTCTGATCAGAAACTCACTCTGCTAAAAAGGTGAAACAGCGAATGAGCTTCTGTTTGTTCTCCTCAGAGAGAACCAGCTCTTTACCCTCCTGCACCCCGTGAGTGCTTTTTTAATGTTCGTAGGGTCCAATGCATTATGTCAGTGAGATGTCCCCACGAAGACAGTAAGACAAACATGTGTCCAGATGTAATTAAACTTGTGTGCCGTCTCATGGCGTGGGCGTACGGTCCAGTCCAATCCTCACACAGTGACTTCAATGCTTGTGAGAACCCTCCTTGTTTTAACCCGTCACGCAACAATTTCAAGAATGTGTTCTCTTTCCAAAATGTTTAGACTCAAATCTTAACCTCTGAAAGCTGCGAGGAGACAAAATGTCCACTCTTAAACGCACCTTGAGGATCAAACAAAGCGTCCTCGCCTTCACTCCTGAGGTCTCAGACTGGCCCTCACAAACGCAGACAGACACACAGACCCTAGTGAACTGGAACCTCTCTGCTGCCATCGTGTGGCTGATCTATGTTACTGCAGCAGGTGTCGTCCTGATCCAGGGGGCATTTCACTCGCTATATACTGACATATTAAATGGTTTTCACGGCAACTAATCAGACACACTGAGGGAGGATGGAGGCAGACAGCGTACAGAGTACAGCCATCGTCCTGATTCCAGCGAGCACACCAGCAGCAGAAACAACACACCCGCAAAGACGAGTTCAAACTGCAGTCACGTGGATATTTATCCCTCAAATCACATACTTTTACCACCGCCTGCTGGCAGGACCACATTATGAAGGCCGTGGGACACGTTCTGCTGAGAACCCAAACAAACCAAAAGGTGTTCCTCTGATCTGATCAAATGTAAAAGCTGTATTATTATTATTATTATTACTACATTTACTCATTTAGCTGACGCTTTTATCCAAAGCGACTTACAATTGCTGTGCATGTCAGAGGTCGCACGCCTCTGGAGGAACGAGGGGTTAAGTGTCTTGTTCAGGGACACACTGGTGGACGGGTCACAGTGGGGGATTGAACCCGGGTCTCTCACACCAAAGGCATCCATTGCGCCATCGCCACCCACCATCATTATTAATATTATTATTGTATGTTACCACTCAGGATTATTTCCATTTTACTCGTTCTTGAGACAAACACATCAGCGCCACACGGCCACTGATGTCTGAATGCAACCTCAGAGCCTTTACGTCTCTTTACCTGAGCCTCGGTGATCCGCCTCAGAGCCCGAGGGTCCGGTCTCTGATTTTCAAACGTGACTAAATCGATGGCACGACTTCCCCTACATCCAAGGTAGCATGGAGATGCAACACAGCCTTAAAGGGAGATCCAGAGAGGAGCAACAGGAACCAGAACAAACACTTCCTGTCCTGACTCACCTGGGGCTGCTGTGGAGCGAGGGGGCCGAGCTCGCCTTGCGGAAGCCGTCTTTGAGGACGGAGCGACGGCACGACTCTTTCTCCGACTTGGATCGAACTGGAGGGCCGAAGTCGTCTTTGGAGCTGTCTCGGAGCCCCGCCCCCGAGGCACTGAGGGTGACTTCGGAGCGTGACGTCTCTGAGGGGGCAGACGGGTCCGGGTGGGCCAGCGGGGCGAAACTCAGCTCGATGATCTGCTTGGCGCTCTCGCAGATCTGACTCTGAACACACAAACACATCAGTCACACGGGACGTAGCGACACGACTCCTCTGGTTACTTTCACCTTCGCTCCCCTACCTGGATCTCTGGGGTGAGGGTGGGCAGGTCGAAGGTGAACACGGACGTGGACCCGGAGGTCAGAAGGTCGACGCTGTCCAGGCTGCTGTACGAGGTGCCTTTGGCCCGGTGAGACTCCATGATGCTTTCAAAATGGCGGCTGAAGGAGTCAAGGTTGCTTTCGGAGGGTCGGCGGGGGCTGCCGAGGGAGATCGGAGACTTGAGGCCGCCGTGTGAGTTAGACGACGCCTCGACCGGCCTGAAAGGTAAACAAACACCAGACTTTAAAGGCTCCGGTGCAGATCACATTGTGTCCTTCATCGAGTACTGGATGAAATCTGCTCGACAGGAAGTGCTACAAACTGCCTGCGTGCTTATATCATGACTTTTGTTTTGGGACTTTCAGGGGGCTCAAATCCGGAGGGAGCAGGTTTACTGACATTAAGTTTCTTCTGAACAACACAATTAAACTGGGTGGTTTTTATCAGAGCCATAAAATCAGTCATTGAAGCAGTGAAGTTAAAGCTGCTGTCCAAAGTATCTGAGACCACACTGATGATAAACGGGCGATAAACACGTTTTTAATACGCTGTTAAACACAAAAATGTCCCCACCTGACTGTTAGCTGTGTGAAGCAGGCAGTGTTTTCTTTACCCTTCAAGAATGTATGTAACATTTGAATCCTGTGAGGGGGTCACAGTGAGAAAGGACGGGCTAAAGGTGAAAACAGCCCATTCGCCCTCTTTGTTTTATGGATGCTGCTGTGGCTGAATAAATAGGAGTAGATTGTAACTACAGAAGTTAGATTAAATTAAGTCGCCATATCATCCAAACCTTTATTACTTTAACAGCCAAGCCTCCGCAGGACACAGGGATGAGATATGAGTGTAATCAAAACTTGGATGATACAGTGTATCAAAATCAACCCATAATCCTCTGAGTTCAAAGGTTTTATGTTTGAAGTTTGAATGTTGTGGTTTTAACTTTTAATAATGTTTCCTCAAAGTTTTGTTTGCGTCTGCGGTTCATAAATTAAATTAAGGATTTTTTATGTTTACTGTTGGCATGTCACATTATTTTGGACACTGGGTGGCAGTCATTAAATGCACAGGGTTGTACATGTAGGGGCACAGGTAGCGGGAGTGCACACAGTTTTCACCAGAGCAGAATGTACCAACACGCTACAACTCGCAACAGTAGAATTGGAAACAAACCGGTATGTTTTACTGCAATAAACAACACACTCAACCGCAAATAATGTCTGTGTTTAATGGCAAAGGTAAAGGACGTTGGAAAAGTAGAACAATTTGCCGTTACAGGCAGCGCAAAGCTCAAGACGCAAAATCTTACCGCTGCTTAAACTACTGTATCTGCAATAATGTGTTACCGCACAATAATGACAAATGATATGTGGTTAGATGATGACCATATTTCACACCACTCAGGTACATGTTGATGGGTGACACCTAAAATCAGGTTTGAACAGATTGAGCAGACGTAAACACCCATAAATCTGCTTAGAAATCAGAGAAAAGAGACGCTTCAGGACCTCCTGAGAATATTCATGTTTTTAAGTGTTCTTCAGTATCACAGTGATCTAGTGATAGCTGTCAACAGGCTACTTTAATGGGGACAGTTTGACTCTCAAGCTTAATTCACTAAATGCATGGAAACATTACATCCTGTTAACACCTCCCAAAGCATTATGGGAACTGTAATTTGAAGCTTAGAGCACCATAGACCTCCTTTAATGTAACTGGTGGATTCAGATAAAGCTCTTGAATTGTGTGTGACCTCTCACCCTTGCAGCAGCAGACCGAACACGTCAGCATCCTCCTTGGTGGCTTTCTGTCTCTGTCTGTCTCCCAGCATCCGGACACTGGCCCAGCTCACCACTCCTTCCTCCTCTTCCTCCTCCTCCCCGTCCTCCTCCTCTTCCTCATTCCTCCTCCCATCCGTCTGGGGTTTCGGGGAGGCATCGGCGGGGCTGAAGCTGGAGTTTCCCAAGACGCTGTGGTTACTCCCAAAGGCTGCGTCTGCCTCCTCAGCTGCCTCGGCCTCCGCCCGCATCACCTGAACAACAATAGCCAATAGTTATCCTACATGAACACCAAGACCGTCCAATGAGACGAACCAGAGGGAACCAGATCACCTCGTCCAGGTCGGTCTCCCTGTAGCACCGCAGCGGCACAGCGTCTAAATCGGTCTCAGAGTATTTGATGGTTTGGCGGATGATGCCCGTCTTCGGGGTAAAGCCTCGGGGGTCGGGGGTCACCAGTTCCACCTCCACCTGCCGCACCTCGTGATACGACAAGTTTTGACCCTTGCTGTCCAGCCCCCTCCCCTGATTGGCTGGTTTCAAATGGAGGGAGGAGGGAGGGGTGGGGCTGGGCGAGGCACTGGTCGGAGGCGCCTTGGGTGGAGCTTCTGCAGGAGAAAATAAGTCTGAAGTCCTAAAGACCTAAAGAACAGGTGTAACAGAAGGTTCTATACTAGAACATGCAATATATGAAGGAACATCCACCCAAGCAAAGTGAAGATACATTTGTTTGCAGATGATACAGTTCTATACATAAACAGTCGCTTGTTGTCTAAGTCAAGCATTACGGACCTCCAGACTGCTGTTCACACACCTCAGTTATCTTTTTACCAATTAAAAATAACCTTAATGTGCAAAAAATTTAATTTAAGACCATATCCAGACATCATGCCAAGTCTGCACTAAAGCCAATAAAATGAGCGAATATTAGCAGTGGTTTCTATGCCAGCAGATAAGTAACAGTAAATGCCAATGGACAAATGTCCATGTATGTTTGAGGTAGGGCTGGGCGATTTCAGATCAGCCTAATTTTTGCTCCTGAGTCAAAGTAGAAGGAACCAGATAATTAATTGTGGTTTGAAACTTTTCTTTATGGTCAGAACAAACACTTGATGCCAACCAGTGGATCACTTCACAAATCTGAGGCAGAGCTTTCAAAACAATAATGATAAAATCTTTTTTCAACAAATATACAGGAATTAAATTAAGTAAAATCCTTTTTCAGTCCCTTTTCCTACACAAAATAAACATCTTAATAGAAACATTAAGTGTTAATTTGTTCATAAGCATTTGCTATTATCATTATATTGCCCAGCCCTAGTTTGAAGTCAGAGTTTATCCACCACAGCACTCAGTTCTCACTCTGTAAAATGTTCACACTCAGTACATATTGTTCAAAATCGAAGGGATTCTTATCACAAATGCTTGCTTATGTTGCACTTTTAAGCAGCTGTAAAGCTGAAACCATTAGTCAGGTAATTGATTAGCTGAATTACAGAAACTGCAACTATTTATTGGAGGCAACTATTGGAGGTAAAGGAAATAATAGAATATAATATTTTTACACTTCATTTAATTATATTAATGATATATGATAACATTTTACAATCAGAGCTCCAGAATAATCGGTTGATTTATTGGATTCAGATTGTACAAATCATCAAATATCACTATTGGCCTTAAACAAAATCTGCAGTGAACCGGCTATGGTCTCCAAAAAAGGTAGATTACATTACTCAGATAACACTAGACTGACCTTTATTCTTGTTTTAAGATAAGCTTTGCTTCTGAAACAAGAATCCGTTCAGTCTGTATTTTTATCTGTTCTACATTATCGTGACAAGCTGCATCAGGCTAACCTGTTTTGGAGCAAATAAGACATAATTTACAATAAAACAACATCTGTAACATGCTGAGAACCAGTTTCAATTGAACTTAACTCCTGTTATCTGCTAATCTGAGCATTCATGAGCAGTTTGTGAGATTTTAATTTGAGCAATTTCAAACTGTTAAGTAAGATTAAAGAAATGAGAAAAAAAAAAGGTAATTGCAGAGAATAAGGTTTGTGATTCAGGAGCCTAAAAACAATTTACATTTGTTCTACACTATAAATGACACCTGTTAGATCTCACTGTTTAGTTTGGACTGCTTTACAGTAAGATTTCCACAAAGACATTCTGGTTCACAAGTGTTGGAAAACACGGCTAAGTATAGAACAGGAAGTGAGTAGTGGTGTGTAGTAATACTTGTGAGTAGGATTGCACGCTGTAAGAGCTGTTCTAGCTGATGTTAAGCTTCAGTTAATTGGATTAGAAGCAGACTGGAAGCTCCTGAAGCTGCTTGTTTACTCCACTGAGTGGAGAAAACAGAATGGCCCCTCCACCTGCTGGAACTAAAAAAGACAAAACTACAGCTGATAGTAACACTGAATACTGGTAATACATCTTTTCATACTGCAACAACTAATACTACAAGAACAGCTGATACTACTCCTGGATTCCCAGTGTGAAGGTGTGAAACTGGGATTAAAACACTGATTTCAGTAAATGATGTATATGTTTACAATAGTCTAAACCAGTGAGTCAAAACCTGAACACTGTCAGTGAAAACTAGTTTGTGCTTAGCTGGATTTGGAATCGCTAGTTTAAAGTAACAGTTAAAACGCCAGCTTCTTACACTCCAGGTAAAAATAGACCAAGCCTCAGCATCAACAGTTCCAGGATCACTGATGTGTAAGACAAGTTATTGAAACAATATCCACTCTCTATAAATAGTGGGGTTAAATTATTACATGATGGAGGTGTTGATCGGGCTGCATTTACCTTGACTGCAGCGACTCTCCTGCGTCTGCCCTCCGAACAGGAACTCCCACTTGGCTTGGGCGATCTTCAGCGATCGTGAGGACGGAGTCGTCGCTGAGCTGCCGTCCGACTGCAAGAGGAAAGACGGCAGCGTAATGAAATAATGTGTTTCCACAGTATTTCTCACAGAGGTGATGTGAAATAATTTCTTTAAAAATCCATGTCAGGGCATCAAAAGAGAATCCCCTAACTTCAGATTTTTCTATTCCATGAAAACACATTCTTTACAGTACTTTGAGCACAGTGTGGTTACACAGAAGTCAGTTAGTACATGTACATAATCTGTCCAGTACACTCAATGTTGAAAACTGGGGAGGAGTTTTGATGCACAATGCACCTTCAATTTTAAAGCTGGGGTAGACAGTTTATTTCAGAACTACATTTTGTTATTTCTTTAAATTCTCTTTACATTAGGGCTGCACAAAATATCGCCGGAGCATCGTCATTGCAATGTGCTCTTGTGCAATAGTCACATTGCAGAACAGTGCAATATCAAGCAAGTCAAATTTACTCAACTTTTTTGCAGCTTGATAGAAAAGGAAAACTTCAAGAGAAGTTTGTCTGATCTAACATCATTTACTTCCGATTTAAGAGTTCTTGGATACACAGTTGTAACTAGTGAGTGATGAGGAGGCTCTGCATGCACAGTGAACTAGTAATCCCAATATTATTCTCGATCAGTTGATCAATTCTTTTAGGATGCTCAGTTGTTTCAAATAGAGCAACCGAAGTAATCTGGTGAAACTTCCTGTATTTTTTCATATCGCAATATATATTGCAAGAAAGAAAAATGTTGCAATGCAAGTTTTTTTTCCCCAATATTGTGCAGCCCTACTTTACATCCAGGCAGCAATTAATAAATCAAATGCTCTGACTAATGAAAAATGAAAGATATCCGGTCTCTGCAGCTGTCGCAAGACTGTAAGAAGTACAGCTAATCATTTCGTTTGGCCCGACTTAAATGACTGGTCCTACCTGTGCACTCACTGCACATGAATGTGTTTTGGGGGAGTTGCTTTGGAGGGAGGCCTGAAGGGAGAGGGTGAGATGTTTTTGGTTGTTGCTAGTTTTTCCAATGTCACCTAGCCCATCTTTAAGTAGAATTAAATTTCATTTAATTTAACGTTTTCCAGCTCCACAGTAGGTTCGCTGGGTGACAAGAGTGCCTGGACCAGTGCCTTAACAGCGTACAAGGAAAATGCTGCAGCTCCTCTTTTCACCCTGTGTGTTGAGCGCTCCATTTTACTTATGAAGAATCTCACTTCTATAAGATCTTTGTTGGGAGCTGCACATGCGCAGTACCTAGGTAAGGACTACTAGCCAATCAGAAGCAGAGAAGGGCGGGTCCTGACCAGCAAGGTAGTGTGATCCAAAAAAACCCCACAGCTTCAGTTCAGCTGTACTTTTACAGAGTAAGATATTAATCTGTAACAAATTTATCTTTCATAACATTTTAACTGAGCTCACAGTAACTTTATGTCCACTGACTGCCTGGAGGGGATCCAGCGCCATCTCCCACACTAGCTGCTAGGCGAACATAATGCATCGTGTTACATAGTGCCACAGATAGTTTACAGAAGTAAAGACTGGACCACAATCGATTTTTTTACAGTCAGTTCAGGAGCAGTGTTTTCTGTGGGAAATATGAACTCCCTTTGGGCTGGACTTTTTCACTTTTCAAACCTATTACATGCACTATATATATCTCACAATAAAGGAAAGGGGAAAAGCCAAAAAGCATAATATGACCTCTTTAAAGCTGATTTCTCTTACGTCATTTAAGTCATTTGCCATGGCACGTAGATAGTTTCAGAAAGACTTGACAGAAACCCTCCAGAAGAAATTACACTGAGGAACAGAAAGTAACTCACTGGAGGAGAACACACTTCTGTCACATATTTATTGATATTGAGGTAAATGTCATGACATCGATCAGCTATGCAGACAGACAACCTCACCCTGCTCACACACACAAACAGCGAGGGGCCACACAGATCCGAAACATACCCGATTACCTCCTCACACACACAGATCCATCCAACCAAACCCTCATCCCCGTCCCACCCAGCCGACCTGTATCCCTGAGCCGCTGTCTGCTGTGTCATGGCTGGACTGGCTTGAGGTTTCGGGGGACAGACTCTCGTTTCTGTCCAGCTGGGAACTGTCCACCATGCTGCCAGTTACACCACTGGAGCTCTGAGAGGATGTCCCAGTAGCCCCACTGTGATCCTGAACCTCCTCTCTCTGATCCTTGGACAGGCCAGTACCTGGCCTCTGGTACCCCTGCACTGACGTCTTCGTTCCTTTGTCTCCTCCGACTTTCCTTTGATACTCCTCTTTGCTTGGAGTGTAAACTCCAGAGGTTGACTGTCTGATGTTTTCTTCACAGAGTACATCCCCATCCGGGACAGGTCCAGTCTCCTTCCACTCCTGGTGCCTGGCGGTCCAGCTCACAGGAAATGCTTCTGTGTTTCGGCTGGAGAAAAGTCTCCTTGAGAGCTCTGGGCTGTCCCTAGGTGATCTATCGAAGAGGTGATCATACTGCCTTAGCTCCATGCTAGGCGTATTGTGGTCTCCAGTGTACTGTGGCGGCTGATAGCGGTGCAGGGCAGACATTTCCTTAATGGGTGATGAACCCTGTTGCTGCTTTGGGGCCAATACAGGTGATTGAGAGATGGCTGCATGATGCAACCTAGCATGCGGTGCTGGAGATGCTGGTGAAGTCAGGCCTTTCTGAGATAAGAGAGGGGAGACACGTCCTGGTCGGGTTTGAGGTATTGCTTTATCTGTTTTCCATCTGTGGTTCTGGTTATCGGCCTGTAGAGGATCAGGGGACCTTCGCACATGAAGGGTGGCATGAGGTTGGGATTCTCTTAGGGATGCCCCTTCTATCTTAGGACTCTCTGACCTCAGTGACTCTGCTTGGGAAAGTGTTGGAGATGAAGTCCTTCTGTCTGCAAAAACGGTGGACAGTTTGGCAGCCTCCACAGCTAACTTACCAGCTACTTCAGCATTTAAGGAAGGGGAGACGCTCCTCCTGCCATTGGTAGGACTGACTGCGTCACTGGCTCTGCTGCTGCAGCGTGATGATTTGTGGTGAGTCTTAATAGATAGGTTGGAGTTATCATTAGGGCTGCAGTGCATACTGTCTGTAGCATTATGACTGGTGTTGATGACGTTAGCACTATAGTTACTACTATGAACACTGTGTTGGTTGTGTTTTGTGTTCCCACTAGCTTGGTAGCCAGTCCTGGAATGGTTGCTACTGGGGAATATGCTAGTTGGGACTTCATGCTGGATATCTGTGGGTCTCCCCGCAGGTAAAGGTGGGTGAAATTTGCTGGACAACCTAGGGCTCTCCTCCCCTACCAATGGCCTCTGCTGGCTCTGGGGAAGGCCATAAGAGCGAAGAGCTGAGGTTGGAGCAACTGAGTGGGAGTACCCAGTGTGGGCACATAGGTGGTCAGAGGCAGGACTTCTGGGTATTCCATTCACTGAACTACGGCAGACTCCCCTGTCCAGTTCCAGGAGCTGGGCCTTGGATGGCAGGGTGTGGGTGCTGCGGGGCAGCACAGGTGACCCTGCCCAGGACCGGCAGCGAGAGGACTGGTAGTGCCGTGGCAAGCTCGGGCTGCAATTCTCTGGGCTGTGACCAGCAAATCTACGCCTGAGTTCTGGGGATCCAAACTCCTGCAAGGCCCTGTAGGTGGCATCTCTGGCAACTGCATCCAGGCAAGCCCTCTGCGTATAAGGCGAGCCCCGTGGGGACTCATTCTGAGATGGGTAGGGGTGACTAGGGTAAGGATCGCCCTGGTATGGCTGACTATTATACCACACAGGGTCGCTCAACCTCTTCTGGAGATGGGCAGGGAGCATCTGCCCTACAAGTCTGTTAAGAGGATTGTCCAAATCACTTTTCCCCCCCATGCTCTGAACGTTAGCTTTCTCTATGTACCCAAAGGTCACCACAGATGTCTTCCCATTCTCACCCTCAACCTCTGGGACCTCACAGGACCTGCGGTTGCTGATGGGTGTGGAGGGTACGGTCAGCCTCCCAGAGGATGTAGAAGATGGGGATACAGGCACTCGTCCCCGGTAAGAATCTATGTCAGAACGGGTGCGTCCCAGTGAGCCATGTTGGCCTGTACTGGTCGTTCCAGGTGCAAGGATCTGGAGTAGTCGACCAAAACTGTCATTCAACACGTCCTGCGGTTGGATCTGGGTGGAAGACACTGTAGCATCAGGGTTTTGGAGTTGGAAGGTGACTGAGTGCCTGGAGGAGGGGGGTAGGCTGTGGCTTCCAACCCTAGTTTGGTGCTCAGAGACTGGAGAAAGATCTGGACTGCGGTTGGGGCTGGAGCGGGTGGAGCTTCCCTGGGAGTGAGGGAGAACATCTGGGCAATGAAGCATCAGGTGACCAGTCCCATCATCTCTTGTTCCTGGCCCCTTCCCTTCCTCCTCAGCCACAGATCTCACCTCAACGTACAGGTGGAGGACTTTACCTGCCTGAGACATGTTGGCACCTTAGTCACGTAAATGCCCTGATCTTCCTTTTCCTGCGGACCTTCCCTATTTGTGCAAAGGGGACATTGACCTCCTGGTACCCAGTTAAGTCCCAAACTGTTTGATGAGGGTCAGAGGTGGAACTGGACCAGATCTGTCCTCCAATTTTCTCATTATGACTACAACCTGCAAAAGAAAGCAGAGATAGACATAGTTAATGAACTTTGTTCAAGATCTTCAGAGAAAAGACAACAAAAAGGCAAATGGCAACAGAATCAAGACGATTTATAAGGTAAGGTGGTGTTAGATAAAAGTATGCTGAAACTTTCTTATACACACATACATTTAAACACATACACACACACACATACAGGTTAGTGCTAGTGTGTTTTGATGCAGGGTTTGCAGGTAAATTAAACAGTTTAAAAAGTAAGACTTCTAAAATATTAGATGTCATCCTTCTACTAAAATGATTCCAGATATCACTAGTAGTTTTTGATAATCAGATTCTGACTTGCCTCTTGCCACGTGCAAAGTGACAACAAATGTCATGTTTATGTTCTAAGATGTAACTAAAGGAAGTTTTCCACCCAGCTAGCCATAAACCTTGTGGCTAATTAACACTATAGTAGTCCTCTGTGAATCTCCTATGTGGGTCAGCTAGTGTCTTCAGACCAGCTGGTCCACTGCTGAAACCAAAGACCTCGTGTTTTATTCATAAGAGGAGGAAGTCAAACACTAATAACAGCAACATTTGTAGTGTTAAAGCAGGATAAACGTGGGAGAAACAGCTCATTAAATCACTGTTGGTTTAAAAAAAGTTTAGAATTTAGTTTTAGAGAAATTCCAATGATTTTTTTCACAGTACTGAAGCTCTGGAATGAAATCACTAATTAAATAACTAACTTAAATTCAGAAGATATCTCCAGTGCTAACCAACCAAAGATCTGGTAATGTTCAGTTGGTTATTTTTTTATACAATATTTTTATGTTGTTTACAGGATTGGATTATACCATATAAACAGGTGATTACTGGGAATAAAAATCAAGACCATATACAACAAGACAGTCAGTCTAAAGTGTTTCTAGCGTTCCCTTGAGGCTGCAGTGTTCCTTACAAATAACATGCTAACGTTAAAGCCTAGATCCTTTACATCAGCCCCTAGAATCCAATCCTCAGAATAATTCTTGGGGTCCTTTAAGGTGTTGTAGCGGTCATTGGGAAGTTTTAGGGTAAGGTTCAGGGGTTCTGGTTAGGACGTTAAGAGATTTAAGAGTTCTTTAAAAGAGAAGGTTCTAGTGGTCAACACAGAGGTTCTAGGGATCCTTCATGAATATTAAGTGGTCACTGAGGATGTTCTACGAGTCCTTTAAGAGGTTCTTGTGGTCACTGAGGAGGATTTAGTGGTCTTTTAGGAGTCTGTCGTGGTCATTTAAGAGGATCTAGGAGTCTTGTAGGATGTTCTAGGGGTACTTTAATAGGCTCTAGTGGTCACCGAGGAGGATCTACAAGTCCTTTAGAACACTCTAGAGTCTTTAAGACATTTAAGTGGTCATTGAGTATGTTCTATGGCTCCTTTTAGAGGCTTGTCTTCCTGAAGGAGAGACTTTGCAGCATCGTGTCAGACAGCACTCTCATCCTCCATCATCAAAACATCAAGTGACTGAATCCGTTTTTACAAAATGCCGTTCATCTCTCCAGTAGAGTTCTGAAGGAACAGACAATACCTGGCACTGACATTGTTGGTGGAACAACTTTCATTTGTCACCCGTTTGCTATGTCTCCTTCAAACTTCACTAGACTTTTGTTTATTTCCCGGCTGTGTTGCTGAAACACGTGATGAAAGAAATACAGTCATTGGAAAAGGAAGACAGGGTTTTTGGATTAAAGACTAGCAGACCTTGATCCATCAGCCAGATCAACCGGACCAGACATGCTGGCCCAGCCTGGTGAAGTCTGGACAAAATGGGACTCACGTTGGCCAAGCAACGGAAATCAGAGCCCGCTGAGCCCACATCTTTACAGAGACTTCCCCAATCAACATCCCGGATCAAGCACTCAGCGGGCAGTCCTTGATCCGAGCTGTCAGCATAAGACTCCGGCAAGATGAGAGGAGGTGGATTCTGTGTTTACCTCGATGATGTTTGGTGCTCAAACTCCGTGAAGGTGGGCTCTGTTTCCCCAAATGACTGTTTAATGTGAAGATGAATCTATATTATCATCATCATCTTGTTGCTGTTATTTATATTCACCTAGACGCAGATTAAAAAAATGCACTGCAGAATGTTCTGGGTGTCTGTATATAGCCTGTTTTATTTATTTTACTTTACATGCTACTATATTGTAATACACATTTAATTATCTGTTAGGTTCTGTGTGTGCAGCATGAAGGGACTACAAACTTTTCTTTTCGTTATACAACCTTGTGTTGTTTAATGATAAATAAGTAACCTTATATCTGCAAATGAACTGAAGTTTTAAATGAACCACATTTTAAATTAATCTGCTGTTCTGCTTCTGAGCCTTTATGACCACTTGTGTCTTTTTGATAATTACATGCCCATTCATGTCTTTGGCCATCCTCCAACATGGCGATAGGAACATGCGGGTCAGCAGGCGCCAAGTGACGTGTGAGTTTGATTCGTCTATTAATAGAAGAAAGGCAGCCTGGAGTTCAGGTGAGAACAGCCATCACATGAAGAGTCTGATCTGTAAGTTACACCAACAAAAACACATCTTACAGCCAGCTCAGTGGGCTTTTTTGGTTACTGAAATTTGACGTTTTAAAAGTTCTCCCTTTTTTGGTTGTTGTTCTGTTAATCTATCTCTGCTCTAAGCTGTATGTTGTCTGTCCACAGTTTCCATCACTGTTTGTCTATTCCAGACTTTACGGTAAATCAGCAGATGTAGTAGAAATTTAGTTTCTATCGTGTTTGTTGATGGAGGTCAGCAGTTTAGATCATGAGGAGTCACATGAAAACACAAGAGGCTGCAGGAAATCCAACACACACCCGAGCTGAAGCCCCCCCCCCCCTCATAAAACAATTATAATAATAAGGTCAACACACCCATCGAACTGAGCCTGCTCAGAAAGTGATACAGAGGGAACCAGTTAAGACCACATGACGTCTGGTGTCAAACAAGGAGGCAATTTACTGTGATCACAGTGTCTTATTTTGTCAGTGTCTAAAAACCTACTGAGACTTCAACTATTTGCAGTATCCCACTAACTGCCTTCATCCAGAACCCCGAGGGACTCAAAGTGATATCCTTACATTGCTTGTTTAGTTGAAAATCATATATTTCAAAGAAAAACATAAAAATGATTCAATTTTTTGTTTAATTATTTAATGGTTGTCGATTAATTTACTTTCAAACCACCTAATCACTGCAGCTGTACTATTCATACATTCATTGTTCTAATTAGCTTCTTTATAGTCTGCTCTAGATTATTTTTGTTTTCCTGTAAAGCATAAACTGTTTCTCAGAGTGTTATATAAATAAAATAAAAGCATTTTTAATATTACATCACTGTCAGTGAATCACAGTGATGATTCACAGATGGTTAAATCTAACAGAGAACAGCTGTAAGTCTGCAGCAGTGAAAGTCTACTGGAGATAAAGACCATGCCAGCGAGGTGTGTGGTGCTGAAGTCTGGATAATAATACCCCCCCCTGTACATTCAAGGGCAGTTTGAAGGGCAGTGCAGACACCGTGATGAGGAGGCGTGTGTGTGTGATGCTCTTTAAATCTCAGCGGGGCTTCAGTCACATGAACAAAATCATGTAATGAGGATTATTTTTAAAAATTACACAACTTCATGTGATTGAATAATTTGTCAGTAACATTATTAAATTACACTCGACGTGTTATGAACTAATTATTTCCACTGTGATGTCACTGCAGGATGACATCGTCAGGTTTAAATTTTTCACATGTAAAAAAAAAAAAAACTTATTTATTTAATTTGTTCATTAAAGCATCTGTGCTGCTGACTGCAGGAAATCAAACTGTGGTGTCATTATTAGGGCCGTCAGCATTAACACGTTAAGCGCAATGAGATTAAAGACGGAGCATAACGCGCTATAAATGTGTTTAATCGCGTTAATCGTTTATTTTACACAGTCACTGCTGTTACCAAAGAATCTTTGCTACGAAGAATCTCTACAATCTTTGGCTGCTACTATTTTGACCCTTAGACGCACCCTTACTTCCTGCCTCCTGCTGGAGAGGAACAACACCACAGCTCTGAGCGGCGTTGTTTTATTTTTTTAAAGACTCCCAGACGGATCCGTGGACAAGTTCAAGCTACCATCTGAGCACGCAGCCGGTTAAAGGCAAGCTATTTTTCTGAAGACTTGGATTGTGTCGCCCCGTTTCACATCTTCTGATTTGAAATAATCAAATAAATCAAATTTTTAGATTTTCTTTGCATTAATTTGATTCCTAATAAAGATACACTGATTAAAATCTATTTTAATCATGTGATAAAACATGCTATTAAGTTTTCACTTCAAAAGTATAACTAGAAAACTGTTCTGTTTAATAGGATTTAGGATGAGAATCTGCAGTCCATTGAGATTAAAACTATTTTAATCATTTTGTTCCTGATTATTTCACTATAACAGTTTGTTGTATAATCTGCACGCTGAGTGTTGAACAGAGAGGAGCTGCTGAGCTCTGCAATCAGCCCAGACAGTCGACCAACAGTCAGAAACACAACACCAGCAGCTGAGAGACAACCTCAGCTCTGTGTTCCAGTCCATTTACAACAACAACAACAACAACGACGACGACGACGACCGCAGTCTGACAGGGAAGAGGTGACACGAAGCCTCAGGGGTAAATAAAGAGGGCAACGACATGTGGCAAAGATCCCTCTGATATGAACCAGGGACACCAGGAGGTCTTCGTGTCCTGAGCTCTACCGGTCAGGATGACGGACTATCTGTTTTCTGAGAAACTACCCGACTGACATTCCTGCAGACTGATGGGAATTACAGCTGTTTCAGTTAGTCCCGCTCTTAGAAGCAGTAACACCGTCATAATGAAATAGTGTGGTTAATTAATAACTACACACACTGTATATCAAATTAGTATGATACCAAATGAGCCGTCTCATCCCATAGGATGTTTTTCAGGTGGGTTGGTGGACCCTTAAAAACGACTCGTGTTGCGGAGCAGGCGTCTGACGGATACGTGGTGTCGTCATAGAGCGGCGCACTACTGTTTTCCTGCTCTCCACCTTCTCCGTTACTCATTTTTACAGCTAAAGTTACTTCCCCCTGACGGAGCTTTATGCTACATTCACATACTGGGCGACGAGACCATGAACAGGCACTATGAAACCTAAAGTTTTGCCAGATTCTGTGTTTTACTGTGGGACACAGCAGCGAGGCAGACTGGAGATTTTGCTTTGTTTACATACATTTAGTTAGTATACTTGGCAGTTTCTGATCCAACCACGGAGTCCAAACCTCTTCCTCACAAACATTTGATGCAAACCTCCTGACACAGGAAGTCAGAGCTTGAACGAGCCAATGAATGAGCGCCTAACGTTCTTCAGACTCGTCACTGGTTCATTTTGAAAAGGTAAAGCTGAGCGAGCCTCAGAGATACCCGAGTGATTATTACAACCCAGTGTGGAGGTTTGGTTTCCTGCAGAGTCCCACCAGTCCGCATGCTGGACTGGTCCCTCAGTGTTCAATTCAGCTGCTCAGACATCCGTCCTCGCCGCTGTCACGGCAACATCGCCTTTAATCTGATGACCTTGGAAAGGGAGCAGGATGTGATCTTGTGAGCCTCGTTAGGGTCTCTCTCTAAAAGTAATTTAGTTTAACTGAAATTTTAATGATGAAGTCGCAGTGAACGTCTGAACGACCTGCTGCTGAACGTCCAGCTGCTGAACGTCCAGCTGCTGAACGTCCAGCTGCTGAACGTCCTGCTGCTGAACGTCCTGCTGCTGAACGTCCAGCTGCTGAACGTCCAGCTGCTGAACGTCCAGCTGCTGAACGTCCAGCTGCTGAACGTCCTGCTGCTGAACGTCCTGCTGCTGAACGACCTGCTGCTGAACGCCCAGCTGCTGAACGCCCAGCTGCTGAACGTCCAGCTGCTGAACGTCCAGCTGCTGAACGTCCTGCTGCTGAACGTCCTGCTGCTGAACGTCCAGCTGCTGAACGTCCAGCTGCTGAACGTCCAGCTGCTGAACGTCCTGCTGCTGAACGACCTGCTGCTGAACGACCTGCTGCTGAACGCCCAGCTGCTGAACGTCCAGCTGCTGAACGTCCTGCTGCTGAACGCCCTGCTGCTGAACGACCTGCTGCTGAACGCCCAGCTGCTGAACGCCCAGCTGCTGAACGCCCTGCTGCTGAACGTCCAGCTGCTGAACGTCCAGCTGCTGAACGTCCAGCTGCTGAACGTCCTGCTGCTGAACGCCCAGCTGCTGAACGCCCAGCTGCTGAACGTCCTGCTGCTGAACGCCCAGCTGCTGAACGTCCTGCTGCCGAACGTCCTGCTGCTCAACGACCTGCTGCTGCTCAACGCCCTGCTGCTGAACTACCTGCTGCCGAACGTCCGGTCGTGGACGTGGTCGTGCAGCAGGTCGTTCAGCAGCAGGTCGTTCAGCAGCAGGTCGTGCAGCAGCAGGGCAGCTGGTCCGACAAAGAAGACAAAGACAAAAAGGACGATGCAGAAGGAGACGAAGCTGAAGAAGTTGTTGAAGAAGAAGATGAATAAGATGAAGACGAAAAGCATGACGAAACAGATGACGAACAAGAAGATGAACAAAAAGAAGACGAAGATGAAAAAGGATAATGGACAAGAAGAAAAGACTGAAGACGTGAACGAGCCGGCTGCTGCTTAACTCTGCCATGTGTTTTACTCTCAGCGTGAATGTTCTGTAAACATTAAAACTATTCCAGGACGACCAGATGACAGACAGCAGAGACCAAGAGGAGATCTGGTTCTGGATGGGTCCCTTCCTGAGTGGTGGGTCAGGTTTCATTTGGACAGACACTTCCTGTTCACAGTGAAACTCAAAGAGAGACGGCAGGTCGGGCAACACCCAAATATCACTGCAAGGGGTTTCTGGGAAATGTAGGAAATCAGAAACTGAGGCGGCCTAAACAGCTGAGACGCGTCAGGACGAGGTTACGCTGACCTGCTAACTTTTATCTGTTTTTATCTTGTCGTCTTTTTGATTGAATGTTTGCTTGTTTCATATTTTGTTTAGTTATCAGCCCGAGATATGGTTTGATATTTTAAGAAAAATAATATTGTTGATACAAAAAAAATGTTCTTGTCTGACTTATTCAGGAAACTCACACTAAAATAAACTAAAAATGATTCATGTTTTGGTTTAGCCAGGTTAACAGGCCTTACTTTCTGTAACATGGACGAGACATTTTATAATGTTAAGAGCCCTCTACCTGCAGGACGACCGTCCTGTTGCAAAGAGAACATGATAAAACGTAAATATGCTGTACGAGTGAAACATGAACAGACGCACGATCTCACAGAACATGAGGTCTTTGTTCAGGCCTGTGGGCACCAGAGTCCATTCACAAATCCAGTGATTTAATCTGCCAGCAGGTATTTTTAACTAAACTTTGTTCACTTATTTTCACTATAAATTCATCTGCTTATTATCATTAATATTTTTAATCACTTCATTGTTTTGACCGTAACATACGAGAAAGAGAGAGAAAAGCTACCGGACATCTTTTCCAGCAGTTTTATAAAAACCTTATTCCTTCCTTGATTAGCTCCCTGTCGTCCTACTGTCTGCAAATGTTGTTTATCTCTGTACGAGGTAGTTTGTCTTATTTAATTATTCTTATTTGCGCCTCTTATGGACACTGAGAGCAACATGCACATTCCTGCCCAATGAAAGAGATCCTGATTATTAATTAGTAATGAACTATTGTTATTCTGTTGTTCCATGTTCAGTTTTTCCTCCTTCACTGAGAACGTGTCTTTTTTTCTGTGAGATATCTTTAAAAAAGGTTTTTACCTCTTATATAATAAACTAAAATAATACATCCTCACGTAGGAGAAACTGCGAGCAGAGTTTATTTCTGGTTTTACAGCCTGAGAGCTGAACTCTGCTCTGAAACTTTATTCACAGCCTGAGAGACGAACAGGTGAACACTCTGCAGGTGTGTGTGTGTCTCAGGCTGATAAGCACAGTTAGTCCGACTTTTCCTGGACTCTGCTAATAGGATTCCCCCGACACCTCCTCCCCCTCCTCCCCCTCTTCCTCCCCCTCCCTCCCAGCATGCACTGCACAATCCACCAACACACACACACTTATAAAAACCGCACGTACGCACACACATGTTCACACACACGCACACACACTGTAACCTTACCTGTGTGTCCTGGCGTCCTCGCCGCTGCAGCGACGTCGTCCCCCGAGTTGCCGTGGTAACCTCCTTTTCCTCCCTCTCTCGTCCCGTCACGCTCTCTCTCTCTCTCTGCTACAGAGTCGTCTGATCCTCTCTCTCTCTCTCTGCACACTTGTTGTCTGCAGCAGAGCCGGCTCATCGTGGATTTACAGACTCCTCCTCTTCCTCCTCCTCCTCCTCCTCTTCCTCCTCCTCCTCCTCCTCCTCCACTTCCGATCTCTATCAATCAGCTGACGTCCCTGCCCCTTCTTCCAGGCAGCCTGCCAGCCAATCCCCATCCTCCGCTGCCTGCAGACCTGGCTCCTTTAGCCAATGACGAGCAGCACTGACAGACGGCAGCACGCAGCTGATTAGAGGCGCTCTGAGGTCAGAGGGTCGGAGCTGCTGTTAATGACCAATTACAGCAGAGATACACTGGCCACGCCCCCAACAGTGATGTCACAACGCACTACAGTATGGCGGTCGATCAGACATGTCTGTCAGAACGGCGGGACAGTCCAGCGTCTGCGGTGTGTTCAGTGTCTGTCAGAACGGCGGGACAGTCCAGCGTCTGCGGTGTGTTCAGTGTCTGTCAGAACGGCGGGACAGTCCAGCGTCTGCGGTGTGTTCAGTGTCTGTCAGAACGGCGGGACAGTCCAGCGTCTGCGGTGTGTTCAGTGTCTGTCAGAACGGCGGGACAGTTCAGCGTCTGCGGTGAGTTCAGTGTCTGTCAGAACGGCGGGACAGTCCAGCGTCTGCGGTGAGTTCAGTGTCTGTCAGAACGGCGGGACAGTCCAGGGCCAGCGGTGTGTTCAGTGTCTGTCAGAACGGCGGGACAGTCCAGCGTCTGCGGTGAGTTCAGTGTCTGTCAGAACGGCGGGACAGTCCAGCGTCTGCGGTGTGTTCAGTGTCTGTCAGAACGGCGGGACAGTCCAGCGTCTGCGGTGTGTTCAGTGTCTGTAATAACAGCGGGACAGTCCAGCGTCTGCGGTGTGTTTACAAGTCTGTAATAACAGCGGGACAGTCCAGCGTCTGCGGTGTGTTCAGTGTCTGTAATAACAGCGGGACAGTCCAGCGTCTGCGGTGAGTTTACAAGTCTGTAATAACAGCAGGACATTCCAGCGTCTGCGGTGAGTTTACAAGTCTGTAATAACAGCAGGACATTCCAGCGTCTGCGGTGAGTTTACAAGTCTGTAATAACAGCGGGACAGTCCAGCGTCTGCGGTGAGTTTACAAGTCTGTAATAACAGCGGGACAGTCCAGCGTCTGCGGTGAGTTTACAAGTCTGTAATAACAGCAGGACATTCCAGCGTCTGCGGTGTGTTTACAAGTCTGTAATAACAGCAGGACATTCCAGCGTCTGCGGTGAGTTTACAAGTCTGTAATAACAGCAGGACATTCCAGCGTCTGCGGTGTGTTTACATGTCTGTAATAACAGCGGGACAGTCCAGCGTCTGCGGTGAGTTTACAAGTCTGTAATAACAGCGGGCCAGTCCAGCGCCTGCGGTGAGTTTACATGTCTGTAATAACAGCGGGACAGTCCAGCGTCTGCGGTGAGTTTACATGTCTGTAATAACAGCAGGACATTCCAGCGTCTGCGGTGAGTTTACAAGTCTGTAATAACAGCGGGACAGTCCAGCGTCTCTGTAATAACAGCGGGACAGTCCAGCGTCTGCGGTGAGTTTACAAGTCTGTAATAACAGCAGGACATTCCAGCGTCTGCGGTGAGTTTACAAGTCTGTAATAACAGCGGGACAGTCCAGCGTCTCTGTAATAACAGCGGGACAGTCCAGCGTCTGCGGTGAGTTTACATGTCTGTAATAACAGCAGGACATTCCAGCGTCTGCGGTGAGTTTACAAGTCTGTAATAACAGCGGGACAGTCCAGCGTCTCTGTAATAACAGCAGGACAGTCCAGCGTCTGCGGTGAGTTTACATGTCTGTAATAACAGCGGGACAGTCCAGCGTCTGCGGTGAGTTTACATGTCTGTAATAACAGCAGGACAGTCCAGCGTCTGCGGTGTGTTTACATGTCTGTAATAACAGCGGGACAGACCAGCGTCTGCGGTGTGTTTACATGTCTGTAATAACAGCGGGACAGACCAGCGTCTGCGGTGTGTTTACATGTCTGTAATAACAGCGGGACAGTCCAGCGTCTGCGGTGAGTTTACATGTTGTAATAACAGCAGGACATTCCAGCGTCTGCGGTGAGTTTACAAGTCTGTAATAACAGCGGGACAGTCCAGCGTCTGCGGTGTGTTTACATGTCTGTAATAACAGCGGGACAGTCCAGCGTCTGCGGTGAGTTCAGTGTCTGTCAGAACGGCGGGACAGTCCAGCGTCTGCGGTGTGTTCAGTGTCTGTCAGAACGGGAACGGCGGGACAGTCCAGCGTCTGCGGTGTGTTCAGTGTCTGTCAGAACGGCGGGACAGTCCAGCGTCTGCGGTGTGTTCAGTGTCTGTCAGAACGGCGGGACAGTCCAGCGTCTGCGGTGTGTTTACAAGTCTGTAATAACAGCGGGACAGTCCAGCGTCTGCGGTGTGTTCACATGTCTGTAATAACAGCAGGACAGTCCAGCGTCTGCGGTGAGTTTACATGTCTGTAATAACAGCGGGACAGTCCAGCGTCTGCGGTGTGTTTACATGTCTGTAATAACAGCGGGACAGTCCAGCGTCTGCGGTGAGTTTACATGTCTGTAATAACAGCAGGACATTCCAGCGTCTGCGGTGAGTTTACAAGTCTGTAATAACAGCGGGACAGTCCAGCGTCTGCGGTGTGTTTACATGTCTGTAATAACAGCGGGACAGTCCAGCGTCTGCGGTGAGTTTACAAGTCTGTAATAACAGCGGGACAGTCCAGCGTCTGCGGTGTGTTTACATGTCTGTAATAACAGCGGGACAGTCCAGCGTCTGCGGTGAGTTTACAAGTCTGTAATAACAGCGGGACAGTCCAGCGTCTGCGGTGTGTTTACATGTCTGTAATAACAGCGGGACAGTCCAGCGTCTGCGGTGAGTTTACAAGTCTGTAATAACAGCGGGACAGTCCAGCGTCTGCGGTGAGTTTACATGTCTGTAATAACAGCGGGACAGTCCAGCGTCTGCGGTGAGTTTACAAGTCTGTAATAACAGCGGGACAGTCCAGCGTCTGCGGTGAGTTTACATGTCTGTAATAACAGCGGGACAGTCCAGCGTCTGCAGTGTGTTTACATGTCTGTAATAACAGCGGGACAGTCCAGCGTCTGCGGTGAGTTTACAAGTCTGTAATAACAGCGGGACAGTCCAGCGTCTGCGGTGAGTTTACAAGTCTGTAATAACAGCGGGCCAGTCCAGCGCCTGCGGTGAGTTTACATGTCTGTAATAACAGCGGGACAGTCCAGCGTCTGCGGTGAGTTTACATGTCTGTAATAACAGCGGGACAGTCCAGCGTCTGCGGTGTGTTTACATGTCTGTAATAACAGCGGGACAGTCCAGCGTCTGCGGTGTGTTTACATGTCTGTAATAACAGCGGGACAGTCCAGCGTCTGCGGTGAGTTTACATGTCTGTAATAACAGCGGGACAGTCCAGCGTCTGCGGTGTGTTTACATGTCTGTAATAACAGCGGGACAGTCCAGCGTCTGCGGTGTGTTTACATGTCTGTAATAACAGCGGGACAGTCCAGCGTCTGCGGTGAGTTTACATGTCTGTAATAACAGCAGGACATTCCAGCGTCTGCGGTGAGTTTACAAGTCTGTAATAACAGCGGGACAGTCCAGCGTCTGCGGTGTGTTTACATGTCTGTAATAACAGCGGGAGTCCAGCGTCTGCGGTGAGTTTACAAGTCTGTAATAACAGCGGGACAGTCCAGCGTCTGCGGTGAGTTTACATGTCTGTAATAACAGCGGGACAGTCCAGCGCCTGCGGTGAGTTTACAAGTCTGTAATAACAGCGGGACAGTCCAGCGTCTGCGGTGAGTTTACAAGTCTGTAATAACAGCGGGACAGTCCAGCGTCTGCGGTGAGTTTACATGTCTGTAATAACAGCGGGACAGTCCAGCGCCTGCGGTGAGTTTACATGTCTGTAATAACAGCGGGACAGTCCAGCGCCTGCGGTGAGTTTACAAGTCTGTAATAACAGCGGGACAGTCCAGCGTCTGCGGTGAGTTTACAAGTCTGTAATAACAGCGGGACATTCCAGCGTCTGCGGTGAGTTTACAAGTCTGTAATAACAGCAGGACATTCCAGCGTCTGCGGTGAGTTTACAAGTCTGTAATAACAGCGGGACAGTCCAGCGTCTGCGGTGAGTTTACAAGTCTGTAATAACAGCGGGACAGTCCAGCGTCTGCGGTGTGTTTACATGTCTGTAATAACAGCAGGACATTCCAGCGTCTGCGGTGAGTTTACAAGTCTGTAATAACAGCAGGACATTCCAGCGTCTGCGGTGAGTTTACAAGTCTGTAATAACAGCGGGACAGTCCAGCGTCTGCGGTGAGTTTACAAGTCTGTAATAACAGCGGGACAGTCCAGCGTCTGCGGTGTGTTTACATGTCTGTAATAACAGCGGGACAGTCCAGCGTCTGCGGTGAGTTTACATGTCTGTAATAACAGCGGGACAGTCCAGCGTCTGCGGTGAGTTTACATGTCTGTAATAACAGCGGGACAGTCCAGCGTCTGCGGTGAGTTTACATGTTTGTAATAACAGCGGGACAGTCCAGCGTCTGCGGTGTGTTTACATGTCTGTAATAACAGCGGGACAGTCCAGCGTCTGCGGTGTGTTTACATGTCTGTAATAACAGCGGGACAGTCCAGCGTCTGCGGTGTGTTCACATGTCTGTAATAACAGCAGGACAGTCCAGCGTCTGCGGTGTGTTTACATGTCTGTAATAACAGCGGGACAGTCCAGCGTCTGCGGTGAGTTTACATGTCTGTAATAACAGCGGGACAGTCCAGCGTCTGCGGTGTGTTTACATGTCTGTAATAACAGCGGGACAGTCCAGCGTCTGCGGTGTGTTCACATGTCTGTAATAACAGCGGGACAGTCCAGCGTCTGCGGTGAGTTTACATGTCTGTAATAACAGCGGGACAGTCCAGCGTCTGCGGTGAGTTTACATGTCTGTAATAACAGCGGGACAGTCCAGCGTCTGCGGTGTGTTTACATGTCTGTAATAACAGCGGGACAGTCCAGCGTCTGCGGTGTGTTTACATGTCTGTAATAACAGCGGGAC